AAAAAAAAAAAAAAAAAAAAAGGAAGTTTAGTAAATAGGAAATGTAAGACGTTAACAAGTGAGTCTTCCTTGTTTTCTACCTTAGTCGTTTTAATGGAATCCAGTGATTTCATATTCTCCCATTTACACAAATCAAAAATTCACAGATCATTTGAAGAGTTAGACGGGAACTGAGAAGGCCTGTATCCCAAGCAACTATATAGTACAGAATCTTGGGAACAGCTTGCCTCAGAGATGACCATTTTGGCTTTTGTTTGAATTATAAATCTTATACCTGCCTCACCTTTTAGACATCCTTAATTGTTCCCTAAATTTGCTTCCCTGTAATGTCTGTCTGGACCTGCCATCTCTTGCTCCAAAGAACAAAAACAAAAAACCCTTTCTTGATGAGAATCTGCTCTTCATCTCCTATCCCTCTAAATCTTCCATTTGCCACATTTACCATCAGCCAGTTTAAGGAGGAGGCACTGTAGTCTGAGTGAGGAGGGATGAAAAGATGAAGAGATGGGGCTCTACTTCTGCCTCTTGCATTGATCATACTGGTGACTTTGGGTGAGCCACTTTTCCACTGGGGCCTCAGTTCCTTTCTTGTAATGTGAGGAAGATAGACTTAGATGATTTTTTTTTTTTTTTTTTAGACAGAAATTTTTGTTGCACAGGCTGGAGTGCAGTGGCACGGTCACAGCTCACTGTAGACTTGACCTCCTGGGTTCAAGCGATCCTCCCACCTTAGCTTCCCAAAGTGTTAGAATTACAGGCATGAGCCACTGACCCCAGCCTAGATGACCGTTAAGATTACTTCCAGCCCTCTATTCTGTAGTTCTTAACTTTTCAGCTGAGGCCTGTATTAAATGGTTTGATTTGTCATCTTCTGTCTGCCCCCTTGTGGACATTGTTTTGGGAAGAAAATAAAATTCTAATTACCTGAAGAGCAATATAATGACCATCTATCCCACCCTCCAAAAATTCACTTGCATCACACTGTTTGTTTTCAATTATTCATGTTCACTTCTAGTCCTCATTCATAAACGTACATCCTTTAACATGGTTGAATCATATCAGGGGCATAATTTTGTACTTTTTCCCTCCTTCCTGATAATGTCTTTACAGTAAAATGTAAAAATGCTTGGGATTCAATGAACTTTTAAAATATTACTATAAAGACTTTGTCATTATATAGTTAATTGAGATATAATTCATATAGCTTAAACTTCACCCTTTAAAAGTGTACAATTCGCCGGGCACGGTGGCTCACGCCTATAATCCCAGCACTTTGGGAGGCCAAGGCGGGTGGATCACGAGGTCAAGAGATCGAGGCCATTCTGATCAACATGGTGAAACCCCGTCTCTACTAAAAATATAAAAATTAGCTGGGCATGGTGGTACGCGCCTGTAGTCCCACCTACTGGGGAGGCTGAAGCAGGAGAATTGCTTGAACACGGGAGGCGGAGGTTGCAGTGAGCTGAGATTGTGCCATTGCACTTGAACCTGGGTAACAAGAGAGAAATTCCATCTCAAAAAAAAAAAAAAAAGTTCAATTCAGTAGTTTCTGATATATTCACAAGGTTGTATAATCATCACCACTATTTAATTCTAGAATATTTTACCATGCCAAAAAGAAACCTCATACTCCTTAGCAATCAATCTCTGTTTCTTCTTCCTCCTAGCCTCTGCAATCACTGATCTACTTTCTGATTCTCTAGATTTGCCTATCATGGACATTTTATTTAAACAGCATCACACAATATGCTGCCCTTTCTGTGTGTCTGGCTTCTTTCATTGAACATAGTGTTTCCAAGACTCAAATATGGGCTGGGCACAGTGGCTCATGCCTGTAATCCCAGCACTTTGGGAGGCTGAGGCAGGTGGATCACCTGAGGTCAGGAGTTCGAGACCAGCCTGACCAACATGGTGAAGCGCTGTCTCTACTAAAAATACAAAAATTAGCCAGGTGTGGTCGCATGCATCAAGTCCCAGCTACTTGGGAGGCTGAGGCAGCAGAATGCTTGAACCTGGGAGGTGGAGGAGGTTGCGGTGAGCTTGGATCACACCACTGCACTCCAGTCTGAGCGACAGAAAAAGAGAAAAAAAAGATTCAGCCGGGCGCGGTGGCTCAAGCCTGTAATCCCAGCACTTTGGGAGGCCGAGGCGGGTGGATCATGAGGTCAAGAGATCGAGACCATCCTAGTCAACATGGTGAAACCCCATCTCTACTAAAAATACAAAAAATCAGCTGGGCATGGTGGTGCGTGCCTGTAATCCCAGCTACTCAGGAGGCTGAGGCAGGAGAATTGCCTGAACCCAGGAGGCGGAGGTTGCGGTGAGCGAGATCGTGCCATTGCACTCCAGCCTGGGTAACATAAGTGAAACTCCGTCTCAAAAAAAAAAAAAAAAAAAAGATTCAAATATGTTGAAGCATGCGTTATCTTATATTTATTTTTTACAACACATCATTATATCTTAATGCTGTATAATATTCCCTTTTGGAGAAACATTTATATAATGTTGTTGTAAAGAATGAGGCATCAATATCTTCATGCCTCTAATTCATCTCTTCTTTTGAATTATTTTTTTAGAATAAATTCCCATGGGTGGGATTACTGGGTCAAAGGGTATGAACATTTTTTATAGCTCTTGTCAATATTGCTCTTAAACTGTGGTGCCCAGAACTAAATGCAATTCTGAGATGTGTTCAGACAGAATAGGGTACTGTGGGGCTATTATTACATTCTCAAGGTCTGAACAATATATCATCCTTTAAATCCAGCAGCCTAAAAATTTATCAGCTTTTTTTGGTTGCTATGTAAGTGTGACTCATTGAACTTATAGTCAACTGAGGCCCTTAGATCTTTTCCTAAGCACTGTGTCTTAGAGCTATGTTTGCATCTACTCTAGGACCCAGGAGGCTTTTGAGGACTCACTGACTTTAATCTAGTACTGTATGTCTTAGTTTTCTTTTCTTTCTTTCTTTTTTTTTTTTTTGACGGATTCTTGCTCTGTTGCCCAGGATGGAGTGCAGTGGTATGATGTTGGCTCACTGCAACCTCTGCCTCCCGGGTTCCAGGGATTCTCCTGCCTCAGCCTCCTGAGTATCTGGGACTACAGGCACGTGCCACCACACCCAGCTAAGTTTTTGTATTTTTAGTAGAGACGGAGTTTCACCGTGTTAGCGAGGATGGTCTCAATCTCCTGACCTCATGATCCTCCTGTGTCAGCCTCCCAAAGTGCTGGGATTACAGCCGTGAGCCACTGCCTGCTGCCCTTAGTTTTCTTTCCTCTTGAACAATGGGGTGGTCCTAATAAGCTTGTAGAGGTGTGGTTTGTTGTAGTCTTAGCTAGGAACTGCAGATGGCGCTACAAGGCTGTCACAGGGTAAAATATGTCCCTCGCTTGCCCCCTTCACTTAAAAAAAAATGTGGTAGTGGCACCTCCAAAGCAGGTTTGTTACCAGAGTTCAGTCCTCTCCTTTTGCTGAGAAGGAGCAAGAAACTATGAAGTTGGATCCGGGGTGTTATTCAAGGCAAGCTCCAGTTGAAACATGCTTTTCATTTGTCATGTAATCTCCTAGGGGAATCTAGAGCTATCTATTTCATGTTAGAACTCTGAACACACATCTCATGCCACTGCTTTGGCTTTTGAAGTTCACACCCTGAGAAGCTGATTTAAAAAATTTTTTCTTTTGCTTCATGTTCCCTGCAATCTTTCTCTTAGCCACTGCAAGGGATTGAAAGCTGTTCAACTGCTTTTTGTTTCGTTTTTGCTAAGATGAGTTTTGAGCAATAAAAGTAGAAAATTTATGTAGGGTTCCAGCTAAATGATATTTCATTTCAATAATTTGTTCTCTCCTTTCTTTCTCATTCATCTCCTTCCCCACCTTTCATTCACCTTTTCTGTAGTCCATCTGCTTATTTGCAAACTAACATGACTCTAAGCAAGGATTTTGGACTTTCTGGGTTTAAATCTTACTGACAAGTTTCAACAGAATAAAGCAGTGCCCTGTATGTGAAACTTGGAAGAGGATATTTTAACCCACTCTATGCCAAACCTCAGTTCCAATTCTGGGCTGAGAAAGTTTGTAAAGAACATCTTCTGCTGGGCAGTGACTGAGTCAGCATGTGAGCTTGGTTTTGCAAGCACCACCTAAAAGGGCATTTTTCCTAGTATCAATAGCTCAGTCACCTTTCAGGTGAATTAGTACCAGAAAAGGAATGGGAGGTGGGCGTGATGATGGGCTGAGGTGGGGGGATTACTTGAGCCCGGGAGTTCAAGGCTGCTATGATTTTGCCACTGTACTCCAACCTAGGCAACAGAACAAAACCCTTCCTCAAATACATACATAAATAATTTATTAATCTGTCACAAGAGTGAGAAGAAAAAGGCCAGGCATAGTGGCTCATGCCTATAATCCTAAGACTTTGGGAGGCTGAGGCAGGAGAATCACTCGAACCCCAGGGGGAGGATTGCTTGAGTTGACCAGCCTGGGCAACACAGGGAGGCCCCATATCTACCAAAAAAAAAAAAAAAAAAATTTAGCCATGCCTGGTGATTCACACCTGCAGTCCAAGCTACTGGGAAGGCTGGAGTGGGAGGATCAGTTGAACTTGGGAGTTGGAGGCTGCAGTAAGCAACGATCCCACCACTGCACTCCAGCCTGGGCAACAGAGTGAGACCCCTGGTCTCTTAAAAAAAAAAAAAAAAAGGAATGGGAAGGGGTTGCAGCACATGTCATACAAATGTCTTCAGTTCAGACATTTCCCAGTCACAGATCTGAGGGCCAGTGAGGCTTGTTTTACTCCCCCATTCCTCCTTCGGTATCGTTATCCACTTTAGACTTGGTTTCTCTTGCTTTTTTCTCTTTCCCTCCCAGGAACCACAGGAAAGGCTGTATGTTTGATATTTAGTAAATTTTATTCAGTGATAGCAAACTCACTTCCTCTTAGCAGTTGACTTTTCTTGCACAGCCAAGATGATTGATCATTTCAGACCCATCTCCCTTCAGGCTCTAATTCTTCTCCATCAATATGTTTCTTGTTTTGATATTTCTGCCTTTGGCTGATGTTCTTCTTTCCTATAATTCT